AGGTGGTTTTGAAAGTTTGAAAGAATGTTTCGTCAATACTGTAAATAATAGTTATTTGTCAAGCACCCAGTGTCTTGACTGCAGTCCAACATTTAAAGCAGTTTTGTTCAATGAAGGATTCAGCGATATCAATGCGTAAATTACGTTGAGGACCGCGATCGTTATGTGCAGGCTCTTCGCGTGAAATGAATTTTGGAGAAACTCTTTTTAACGTATGAAGTGGAAAAGAAATAATTTGGCTTCTTGTCCAACCATTTCTTACTGAGAACAGATTTCAACTCACGAAAACAATGAAAAGAAATTGAAAAACACTCGAGAAAAGAGCCCGGCACACTTCGTGACAAACTATAGCGAATGCTTACGTTGCGTGACTAACGACGTTATAGCGTGACTCAGCTCCTGTCAATGTATCAATTTCGTTGCAGTCCAGTTACAGAGCCGTTCCAGTGCTAGCAATTTATTAGCATTGTGCAATGGGCGGTGATGCGTAAGTGTCTTTACAAATATCGTGCTTCTTGTTTTTCGTGATTTAATTTGGGGTATGATAATGCTGAACCGCGGAGTACTTGTTTTGTCCCTGGCTTTCGTGTGCAGTACAGTCGCACACCCACATAGCATGTATGACGAAGTCGCCGCCAATATGCCAGCACCTTTTACAAGGGTCTTATTTTTGAAGAAACCACCGTTGGAAGGTAAGCAAATTTACTCACACGCAGTGCAGTGCTTACCAACTTACAGTAACAAGGAAGTGGGGGTTCATAACAGTTGTCACGGCCGCACTTAAGCTTGATGCTTGTGTAACAAAATGCCATTTCAACAATTGCAATGTGGTATACAGTTAACCCATGCAACTATAGAGAGTGTCAGTGATATTTACGCTAACTTGAACGCTATTTAGGCTAACCGTAATGTCGACATTTCGTGTTTTAAAGACACCTCTTTTGAACATACCGAAGTAGGTTCCGTCCAAAGAGAGCTCCAAGCATATTAAAATTTGCATATGACCGTTTGTGTGTGCTTTCGAACCGCAATAAAA